AGTCACTAAACCATGTAATTTCACACTCAAGCAAGAGAATAGACGTGTTGGTGACCTAGCCTTGCACTGTGTGTTTTATTGTTTGCACTCTGTAAAATACCATTTTTTTCACAGATTAAAAAAAGAACTGCAGATGTCACTTTTTTATATTTTTGAGTGGGCCAGCCAAGTTTCCACATACAAAAATACACATAATATTCCTATTTAATTTATTTTATTTTATAATATTGTTTAAAATAAATTTACCATTTACAAATTAATGTGTTGGACACTATACAATCTTAATATTTTACAATCCATATTCTTATATTTGAATCTGTTTCAAGACATTTGAAAAATTTATTTTAGAAGCATAACAATACAACGACTAGATTTGGTGTCACAGTTTGCTCCCAATTCATACTGGAATATTGGCGGCACTAATTAATAAAGCTTGTTCAGAATACAATTTATTCCCGATATCATACTCAGTGGCTAGTTCTCAGGAACTACAACAGTAAATAAATAAACAGAAATCATTTTGATGCCATGTTTTTTGACGACACTGCCATATCGCACATATATTCAACACCGCCATATCTGCAGGGTGTCTAAACAATGACTCAACAAACAATCAACACATCTTCGACCCACCACACAAATTTTAGCCATAATTGAACAACCAAGAAAGCAACAAATATCAGGCTGCATCCTGAAAACAACGAGATACCGCATTACAACCAGTCATTACAAACATGAAATCCTCCACCCCTCCCAGTACACCCTACAACATTAATGGTTCCTAAACTCATTTGCATCTATGTACAACAAGCTTAGCCAATAGATGCACCTTTTCAAATTTTTGACCAACCGCTCATTCTAAATATTGTTGAGTGAGGGCGCTATTTACTAATGAGAGGAATCTTTTTTAAAAAAAAGTAAACAGATAGATAACTTTTTAGTTTAGTTTAGTTTGTTGGTGGTCTTTCCCCGAGCATAACAACAAGCAGTTTATCGGCTGAGATAGCTCTGCTGTTAGCAATACACATTTCAATTAAAGAACTAAGGATACCATTAGAAAATGACAAAAATATTCGTCAAAATCAGAGAATTGAAGATATCATCATGAAATGAACAAATCTGAGAAAGGTCAACCTGTAGTACCTATATATATAATATCAAAGCAATCAGACATGCGGTTTGTAACAAGAAGTCGAAAATATCACTTTTTACCAAGAATTACAAAAATATTCACCAAAATTAGAGAATTGAAGATATCATCACGAAATAAAAAAATCTAAGAGAGGTCCACGTGTAGTACCTATATATGTAATATCAAAGCAATCGGTCTTGTGGTTTATCACTTTTTACCGAAAATGACAAAAATATTCACCAAAATTAGACAATTGAAAATATCATCATGAAATGAACAAATCTGAGAGAGGTCCACATGTAGTACCTACATGGGTAATATCAAATCAATCTGACTTGCCGTTTGTAGCAAGAAGTCGAAAATATCAGTTTTTACCAAAAATTACAAAAATATCCACCAAAATTGGAGAATTGAAGATATCATAACGAAATGAACAAATCTGAGAGGGGTTAACATGTAGCACCTATATATGTAATATCAAAGCAATCGGACTTGCGGTTTTTAACAAGAAGTCGAAAATATCACTTTTTATCAAAAATGATAAAAATATTCACCAAAATTAGAGAATTGAAGATATTATCATGAGAGATCTACCCAAGGTACACCAAGTATCATTTCCCAACTTGAAGTATGCCGTTAGATTTCGAGGATAAAGGCTAATAGTTGGAATATCTTCAGACAAATGCAATTGGAAATTTGTGGGAGTCCCTAGTCCATTATATTGTATTAAAATTGCAATTATCGGATTCTTACAATGCTGGCAGAATATCCCTTGTTTAAAATACCTTACTGGTATGCATGTCAGGGATGTGTGACCGAGTTTTTAATAACAGTATTGTCACCGAGATAAGTATTGCTACTAAAATGTAGCATGGTTTGAATTATAGTTTTGAAATAAATCACTTGTAGAATGTATACATTCTGTGTTTTAACCCTGGGGTGTTTACATAATCTGAGTAATTTCAAACAAACAAGTTACACTTTGAAGTGTATATTGACATTTGTAGGCTAATGCATCCAACTTTATGCAATCAGCATTACCAAAATTGAATGAAAAATCTGGGGACACGTGAGTATACAATATGGTATATATGCCAACTCGACAATCGCCGAATATGACGTAATTCAACGCATGAATGAAATACATTCATAAAATAATTTTATGTCAAGCACCAACCTACATGATCTTACCAACCAATAAGTACAACTACAAATTGAGACACGTGGTGAATTAAATACCTTGTGGCCTAACGGATTTTATTAATTGCATTTGGTGAACAGTAGTTGTAGTTCCAATCACATCTGAGCATTCTCACATGTGATCTTTGAAAATTTAAAACACTAACGATGTTTCAACCCAAAACACCTGACTAAAAATGTTTCGTAAAGTGTTAATGTATAAGACACATTTGTGTTCATAAAAATAAATAAAACACTTTTCTTTCAAATTGCTATCTTTAAGCACTTCTGAAAACAAATACGCATGCAATTTTTCAAGGTACCACACCCAACTATCCATATTTCATATATGTTTATATATACGACATGTACACATGTACACAAAAACACTTTTCTTACAAACGTTTTATTTTGAAACACCACATGCAATGTTTCAACCTAAAACACCCGATTAGATAAGTGTTCATATACAGGACACTTTTGTATGCCGTCCACGGTATGCATCTATAATGTACACAGTACTTATTATCGTCTGTATGCAGCATATTTATCGAAACAAAATGCTCACACACGTCTCCCCCACTCCCTATATTTAGGGGGGCCTATGCTTGTTCCCTCATTTTTTTTGACCCCCCCTATCTAGGGAAAAGAAGAAAATTTAACCCCCCTTTCACGGGCTTTTCCGATGAATTTCACCCCCTATCTAGGGAACTTTTCAGTCTAGAACTCCTTTTAAACTCCCATTTTTTGTATATCTCGGGAAGTGTTTTGAAATAAACCCCCTATTTTGAGAATCTCGGGAAAACAAGCAAAAAATACCCCCTTTTCTACGATTTTCTCGGGAAAATGTTCCCGAGACAGATCGTCAAAAAGTACCCTCTTTCCCGAGAAAATGGGAACGCGCATGCGGCCCCCTATGGATCCTGAGTGGGGGGGGGGGCACACGTCACATTTGTCAGCAAGTCATACTGTGCATGTAGCGATAAATTTGATTTTAGTGTGCATACCATGTAACTGTCACAAGTTGAATAACCGATGGAATTAAACATGAACGGTGTGTAAATCAATGCTCGAGTTAGTAAGCTGAATG